ACTACATGTTTTTTCAGAGTATTTCTATGTTATTTATGTATAAAAGACGATAAAACTGTTCGAATCATTTTGATACGATTGAAGAAGTACAATGTTTAATTCATATTTCGAGGATGGTGCGGGATGCAAGTGTTGGTGAATGAGCGAAGAGAAGAGCCACATTCTCACATGCATTCACATTCAAAACATATTTGTTATCTACTCTGGAATTTGAGTTGCCCGAAAAGGTGCATCATACACAGAATATAGTGAATTATTGCTTCATATGCTCTACATTTACAACCAGCAAAGGTTAACAAAGGTCTTCGTGGTGTAATAATTAATGTTACCGTGTACTTATTTTAATGGCTTGGCAACTGAACAAGAACAATCAGTTGTGTAGCAAAAGATTTCATTTTATTAAGCCGTTACTATCACAATCTTTCAGTAAATCATATCATTCATATTTTCAGATGAAACAAACACTAACAATAAAGTTTTTTTTTCAATTACTTTTGCCATCTCATTGGCATAAACTTCACTATTCCTTCTCTAACAATAGAAAACTCTCTTTTGAAAATTAATGCTAAAAAATGGTGTTTACAGATTCGCACTTAGTAACATTAAGAGATGCGTCTATATCGTAAAAATACAATTAATATGACAGAGTTTTAACGCTGATATGTAGTCCAAACTATCAGTTTATCGAGATAAATAATTTTCAGAAAAAAACAAAGAATTGTGTCCTTGTCGTTAAAATGCTAGCTTAAAGTAAGCTCAATAAAGATCCATTGGCATTCAGAGTCACGATTTTTCATGATTGATTCTCTGTTTAAAAAAAACTACAGCGGATGTAGGTGGAAGAATGGTACAATCCACACATCCGCACCCGCACCCGTACCTGCATACTCATACCTACACAGTTATACCCATCTGAAGTGTCTTCGACAGTAAAAAAGGTGGGATCTCTGATTTTGAGTGAGAATGTGGGAGGATCATTTATTTGTCCAAACCCACACAACAAACCAATAAAATCTAGTAAAAAAATAACTACAATAGTTTGTCACTATCGTTCGTTTGATGATTTTGAAAAAACTATTATGAAATGACAGTATATTTTCACAAACATTATAGTTACATGCTGCGTTTATGAACGTTTTGCTTTAAGATTCATCTGTTCCTTTAAATGATTCTTTTTATTTTTTAACAATTAAATATTACAAGTGTATTATGTTGAAAGTTCTTTATTTCATAGGTGAAATAATATTCATTAGCAAAAGATCCTCTTTCTTACTGCTAGCAGCATTTTCATAAGTACTGTTCGAAATATGCTTCCGCCAACCAATGTATAAATATAGAATGGCATTCCATTAGCCAAAAAATTAAGAAGCACAGCGAGAGTGTACAGAAAATTGTCAATAGCAACTTGTAAGTTAGATATGGTTCTATTCATTGTTATAGTTGCATACAGTTTTTGCATGCCCAACGGTAGACCAAATATGAAAAGAAGGGCAACTTGCGCAAGAAGCATAAGGAGAAGACGAGAATCAGTCTTGTTTCGTTGTTGTCGTTGATTGCCGTTCGTTAACCATATGCTATTTCTAGTCGATATATCTCTAGGTTGAATATGACTTCGTGAATGACGTACGTTCTTAATGGTCATTAAACCAAAAATGAACATAAGCAGAATCGGAATTAGAGTGATGAAGAACGTAAGAGATATATCCGTGACAAAACGACATGTCAATGTTATTCCATAGCATTTTAGAGGAGCATTAATCATATTGGGCTCATAACAATATAGAATATGAGAAAAGAGAATTGTAGCAGCTATGATAATGACAATTATACCTCGTTGTGCATTTTTCAATGTACTTATCTGCCGAAGTCGAATATTGGTGCTTGATAATAGCCATCGATCTATAGCTGCTAATAGTATGAGCCAAAATGCCACGGCTCTTGCCATGTTGAGAATAAAAGATCGAAACTTGCAAAGAAATCTATCGGTACTTGTTAGATCGGCTGCCCAACCAGACAGCATTCGTGAAGTAAGACCAGAAAGAATAGCAATAAAATTAGCCACAGATGAGACCAGAAAAAGTATTGCGCATGAATTTTTCCGAAAAGATCGTTGTGACAAAACAAGAATATTGAGAATATTACCCAATGCGCCAAAGACAAAAATGAAAATTGAGAAATACCGATAAATTTCAGTTGAAATGTTGTCAATGTATGCGATGAAATAGACGTCAGATGATGGCATTTTAGAGTCTAATGGATCACTGAAAAAATGAACAGAAAAATTTAGCTATAGTTGATTATGTGCTTTTTATTGTTCCGTTTCCAACTGCTTTACTTAATGAGCATCAATGATTAAAAATTCTTAAAATAAATCAGAAGAATATATCAGGAAACACACTCAAAAAATAAGGAAAGAGAGAACACAAATGACATTTAATTTATTGTCTGAGTCAATGTATAAGAGTGTTTTTTGTTTCGTGCAAATTGAATCCTTTACATTATCATTGCAAAATTAACAAAAATAGAAAGTGGGTAAAATTTGTTCGTCAGTGTTCCACACCTGAAAGTATTCGAACGAAATGCTTTCGTCATTTGCCATTTCACTGTTAATTAGCATTTCTTTTTTGAATCAGCATGTGATTTGTAATTCAGAAAACGTGCATACTGTGCAACAAAAAGACACGATCATTACTAGGAGAAATTCCTCATATCGTCTCTTTTTTAACAACTGTGTCGCAGCTACGCGTAACTGCAAAATTTCCATCGTAACTGCACGTAACTACAAAGAATTGATTGTAATTAAACATCTATGAGAAACTATGGTTAGTGCGACGCACATAAACGCAATTGCGCCGTATTACTCACATCGTACAATTCAGTGTATATGATACCAATCAATTATAAGTGATTCTTCCTTTGTCTTAATTAGTAACACTAGCGTTAAAACTTAACCACAAATAGACTGTATTAAAGGAAAACTTTGTGTATATATAGGGTGGCCCAAAAGTCGCTTTACCGAAAAAAAATTGAATATCTCCGTTACGGCTGGAGCAAACGAGCTGATTTTTTATCACCCATAGAGACATGTTCAAGATTAATATTCATAAAGACATGCCTAGAGAGACCCTTTATTAAGTACCACTATTGACCTCAACAAAAAAAATTTACTTTTTTACAGATAGGAAAAACAATGTACTTAACAAAGGGCCTCTCTAGGCATGTCTTTATGGATATACAGCTTGAACATCCCTCTATTATTAGTAAAAAAAATCGGCTCGTTTGCTCGAGCTGTAATGGAAATATTCAATGTTTTTTTCGGTAAAGCGACTTTTGGACCACCCTACATATATGGGTATTACACAGCTCTCTGAAACATAGCAGCTCCTTAATCATTTTACTGGTTTCGTTGTTTTTCTCTATTTATACCGTGTATGTTGCTTCACGCTTCTGCTCTTCTTTATTTTGTTTTCTGTTCTTATTTTCTTTTCTTTTCTTTTCTTTTCTTTTCTTTTAATTCAGTTCACTATTAGCATCTGTGGTTCTAGGGGCTCAATTGTCCTCTTAGAACCGACATGATCATACAGTTAAGTAATGGTAAATAAAAAAAAAGATACAATTATTCATTCATACAACCGTTATATTAATTTAGTTCGACGTATGTATTGATGTCGGCAATGCATAGATCAATTCTTCACCAGTTAACTCATTAGATTATGCATTGACTAATTGTAAAACAAAATTTTCTGTTTTCTATCATCTCACAGTTGAGAACATCTTTTTTATACCTAATCAAAATAATTATAGGACATAGGACTAAATTTCTCGAAGAGTAATACTTAAGCCATAAAAAGTCAATTACTTCATGAGTGTAGTTAAAGTAAAGACAGCTGTTCGCACTGAAAAAAGTGAGGGTTTTCATGCTTGAACAACTTCTTTTACTTGGGTTGTGGCTGTGGATGTTGAACAATGTCTGGCTATTCTCTCAGCATTTGTCAAGTCATATCACCAACCAAATTATAAATAGTTTCATCCACACCGTCTCATCCTTATAATCACATTAGATGTCATACTTATATCAGAAAGAAGACAACAACTATAATGCACTTATAACTTTTCTAATTTTTTGGTACTAAAAAAAAAAACAGAGTCTGCGCTACTATAGTCCAAAAATTGAAACGAGCTGAGTGTGTAATGAAATGTTTTACAAAAATGGAATGAAATTCGAAAATCTCTTACTTCGCTCTGCTAGATATTAACCGAGAATTTTCGATTATACAATAGTTTTATATCCTGTCTCATCCGAGCTTTCGCGAGATTTGGTAAACAATCTATCGATTGCAATGTATATTTACATATAATTTAAGATATAGTGGAGTACATATGAATATACAAATATAATGAGATGTTCTCGTTGAGTCATAACTTTCTTTTGAACTCGTTTCAGATCAGTTTTCAGATTCAGTTTTAGGGTGTGGGTGTGATAAAGAGTAACAACCACATCTACACTCACCTACACCCACACCCTCGACGCCAAGATATGTGCGCAATAAAGTATGTTGTCAAAAAAAACTCTCTATGATTTATGCGTAGACTCATAACGTGATGAGAAACTTTATATAAATAAAATATTTTTTTAAATTTTATAATATCACGATAGACATGCTTCACAAATAAACTTGTTGTATCATTTGAATACAGAATAAAATAAATGTCTATAATTGTTAAATGAAAAGAGGGTGTGGGTGTGGGTGTGGTTGTGGATCGGGGTGTGAGTATGTGCTTTCTTGTAAGCATAGCCATTACCCACATCCACACCTAAAATATTTCTATTTTGTTCTTGGTGTTTTTTCTCAAATGCTCATATTACAGAAAACATAAAAAAAGCAAAAGAAAAGTCGCAAAAAAAACCAACTCCCTTTTGTTATTTTCTCTTTTTCTTTATAATTAAATTACGTGAGATTCCTCGATACACATTGGCAACCGAAAAAAAAGTTAATATTTTATGTTTGTGGTAAATCAGCTGGTAGAACTTCGAATTCAAAATCAGACGGAAATAATTCAGCAGCTTTTGGTAACATTTTTTTATATACTTGTCGTATTGTACTTTCCATTGCACCAGCAGCAACTTGAATATCTTTCATTAGTTTCTTCTCACCAACAGCAACACAAGCCATATAAATTGATGCACCAGCAATAGAATCTGGTGCACGACTTTGTATATCGCAAATTTCTTTTGCACGTTCAGCAATATAAATAGCTGTTTTTCGAATAAGACTTTCTTGTTTAAGTTCCAGTTGATTACAGAAACGAGGCACCAAATGTTTGATCTCAATTGATTCAGGTCGGTTCGAATTCGGTAAACTACGAACAATCTGTTGAAAGCATCGACCAATATCTTTCTTTGATGCATTTCCTGATATTGCACATATTTCTTTAATCGTTCGTTGTGCACTTTCTTGCCGACATGCTATATAAATACATGCAGCAACAATAGCATTTTGTGGACGACCACGGACACATTTATTTTCGTAACATTGTTTAAATAGTAAACATGCTCGATTAATAATTCGACCTGATAAACTAATACGTCCAGCCATTTCTCGAACAACATCATAGCCACTTTTTAATGCTTTTTCGGCAGATGACATCTGATGAGAACCACTGCCATATTTTTCTTTACCGGATTCGTCAAGTGCACCTGCACCTGTTCCTTTGGACAAAACAGTTTCAAAATTATTACCAGCAAACAGAGGATTTTCTGCAGCTCCAACACGGCTCATATCTTTTGTTTCATTATCATTAGAAAATGTACGCCATTCAGAACTCACATCAATCATTCGATCACCAACAACCAATCCACATTGTCCACAAATCATATCACCTGCACGATAATCTTCAATCAATGACGCTTCTGGATGAAATCGACATTCCAATTGTTTGACGTATCTTGACATTCTTGAGTATTACCACTAATTAATAAATATTGTAAAAAATAGCTCTTCGTTTGTAGTAATCAGGAACTTTATTCCATAGTATGTGTAACACGTGATCGTCTTTGTCCTGACACTTTTCGTGCCGATAGAAATGAAAAGAAAAGAGGAAAGTATAAAAATGCGTAGACGTCACGATTTGTATAGTTGGAAAGTAAATTGCGTGTTACATTTTACCCACAGGTAATTACTCATTTCTCATGAAATTTGTGTCGCAATGACAACAATGTGCTGACTAGTGACAACACTGGCTTGCTAGAGCAAATTTTTGAAAACAAGTTTAAAAATCCCAAGATTAAAGTGTTGCAAAAATCATTCCTTTCATTACTCATGAATATTCTTCAAACCAGCAAATATATTCTTACTAGTGTCCAGAAAAACAATCCTTTACAGGTATTTTTCGATGACCACGCAATAATACAGATACAATGATAGTCATGGATTCTGACTCGCTTATATTGCTATGCGAAAAATGTTGCTGTAGCAGGCTAAAGACGTCAATAGCCCACTCATTTTATCATTGCCCCATGTATTTGATCGTGCTACGATCATTTACCTTTCGGTAAATAGTAAGAAGCAACTTCGTTATGTAGTGTGTGAGACACAACATCGTGTTTGTCCTAACCCATATCGTATTGGTTACAGTGAAAAGAAAAGAGGAAAGTGTTAGAATGCGCCAGATGTCGTGATTTGTATAGTTACAATAAAAATCCCTTCCTACATTTCTCCAAGAGGTATTACTTACTTCTGATGACACTCATTTTGCGATGATGAAATTGTGTAAGGTTAATGGCGACATTGACCTGCCAGAGCAACTATTTTGGCAATTATTAAAAACATAGTAAAACGATTTCATGCACGTTGGTGATTGCCTATATGTATTCTATTACAGTGGACGTCAAGAGTCTCGCACCACTTTTTTGTTTTGAGTCGTGTATTTAAACTACACAACATTAATTCAATTCAATTATATGCTTGGATAGCAGAGATCGAGTACTACATATATACATCTGTTCAATTCGAAAAACCCTTGAATATGAAATACAATAAGAAAAACAAACTCCAGTACTACGGAAAAAATTATATAAAAAAAGACAACATAATAATAAAAATGTTTGGAAGGCTTTTTGCTGTGCAATAGGAATTTCTTTATACGACTTTTGTAGAGCTTTCGACGGTGCATCGTTTGAAAAAAAAATCAAGATGCTATCATTTTCTTAAGCCGAGATACATACAAAATATAACAATCTTCCAAACATTTTTATTATGTCAAATACGGTGGAAAGTAGCACTATCATAGGTTATTTTTTCGTTTTGAGTATAAGAAGAAACCATCAAAAGAACTCAATAGGGTTTGTTCTTACAGATTTTATAGAGCTTTTCACGACGCATCTTTTGAAATAAAAACCAAGATTTTATCATTTGTCTTTGCAGAGATATTCACAAAACAAACTATGTTGGAAACATTTTTGGAACACCGGCTATTCCACAGTGTTTAATATTTTGATTATAATACCGTCATTTCTCAATGAAATTCAAAATATTGTTTTACCAAAATGATCAGCGAAACAAGCTCTACAATGTCTG